CTCCTCCTCTTCTTCCTTCTTCTTTTCTTCTTATTCTTCTCCTTCTTCTCCTTCTTTCTTCTCCTCCTCTTCTTCCTTCTTCTTTTCTTCTTATTCTTCTCCTTCTTCTCCTCCTCTTCTTCCTTCTTCTTCTCTTTCTTCTTCTTCTCCTTCTTTCTTCTCCTCCTTCCTTCCTTCTTCTCCTCCTCCTTCTCCTTCTCCTCCTTCTTCTTTCCCTTCCTCCTCATCTTCCTCTTCCTCATACTCTTTTCCCTCCCTCTTCCCCCTCCTCTTTCTTCCCCTTCTTCCTCCTCCCCCTCTTTCTCTCCTTTCCCTCCTTCCCTCCTCCTCCTTTTCTCCTCCTTCTTCTTCTTGGTTGACTCAGCCTTCCATCCTTCCGAGGTGGGTGAAATGAGGACCCGGATTGTTGTTGGGGGCAATATGCTGACTCTGTAAACCGCTTAGAGAGGGCTGAAAGCCCCATGAAGCGGTATATAAGTCTAACTGCTATTGCTATTGCTAAGGTTGACTCAGCCTTCCATCCTTCCGAGGTGGGTGAAATGAGGACCCGGATTGTTGTTGGGGGCAATATGCTGACTCTGTAAACCGCTTAGAGAGGGCTGAAAGCCCCATGAAGCGGTATATAAGTCTAACTGCTATTGCTATTGCTATAATTAGATGAGCAAAACTGTAGAAGTATATGGAATTCTGTCTTTGTACAGTGTAAGATTTTTGAGAGCCACAATGGCAAATAGTTAAGAAAATATTAAGAATTGTTTCTTTTGTTTTTAATTCAGGGTGGACCACTCCTTAAGTCAAACTGTGCAGCAAAGAGATATACCGTTGGACATTGGTCTTTATCAAGACCTGGAGTTTTCTTTATTGGGAGAGAAGATGGAAATGTTGACATTTGGGACCTACTGGAGAAAACCCATGAAGCATCTCAGACCCAAAATATCAGCATTGCACATATTACTTCTATTAAGCCTTGGATGTATTCTTGTACGTCAGTGCAGTTTGCTATAATTGTATTTCTTTGCATAAAATATAATTTTGCAATGGGTCTTTCTTAGCAATTAGCAGCATGGGAATAAAGAGATGCCCCCCCAAAAAATATCAAATCCTTAGATGATTATAAGGTGGATTGAGCTGCTAAGGAAAGGAAGGAAGCAAGGAACGAAGCAAGGAGATGACTAATTTTGGCAAAATAACAATAGTAGTAGTTGTAGAAATAGAGAACAAGTCCAGATGTGAGTCTTGTAAATTAAACTTAGGGAAAAGCTGTATATTACACACAAATGCATGTAATAAAAACTTGATAAGATGATTGAACAATGGTGCTTCAGAAGCTACAGTTTTACTAGCAGAAATGCTATCTTGAATCCTATGAAGAGAACGGGCAGGAGGCAAGAGGCAGAAAAAATTTGGAAAAATGAATAAAGCTGATTTAACATTAGCTTTCACTCTATCCAAGTGACCCTTCATTTAAAAAAAAAAGACACTGGATCTCCGTCACAGTATAACTATGATGTGGAATGCAAAAATATCACATAGTCACAGATTAATTTAAACAGTATGTCATAATAAACCATAAGGCCGACTTAATAGCAAATATGTCCTTGCCCAATATTCCTCAATCCTGGAAACTTTAAAATGTGTAGACTTCAATTCCCAACTCCAAATTCCATAGTTAAATCTATAAAATCTGGGATGTTGGTGCCATTTGACTGGAACAAAAACTAAATACTAAAATATTAATTTATAAACATAGGACATTTAACTAGTCAGTCATAGAGATAGATGGTAAGACTCATTACATTTGTTAATCATTCATCCTTCTGGCTTAGTATTTTTTGTTTGATTTTAACCTGCCTTTATCATTTTTACAAATAACTCAAGGCAGCGCACATATCCCACTCAACTTACTCCTCCTGTTTTCCCCACAACAACAACAACCCTGTGTGGTGTGTTGGGCTGAGAGAGAGTGACTGGCCCAAAAGCTTTCTTGGCTAAGATGGGATTTGAACTCACAATCTTCTGCTTTCTAGCCTGGTGCCTTAATCACTAGACCAAACTGGCTCTTAGGTTGGCATACAGGTATTCCTCGAGTTATGTTCATTTGCTCAATGAGGTTCAAGATTATGGTGCTGCTGAATGACTGTCGCATAGGCTTGGTCCCTGAAGTCATGACCATTGCAGTATCGCCGTTGTTACATGATTAAATGTTGGGCTGTTGGTGCCCCCCACCACCACATTAAAGCCACAGGGGCACTTCAACTTCCTCCACCTGCCTATCTCCCCATTCCATCTCTGCCTTTTTGACCCCCTGCCCTCTGCAGCCCTCACTGTCCTGCACTCCGCCTTTCCCAGCTGACCTTTGCCCTCTTCTTGCTCCTGCTGCTAACCAAGCATACCCAGCATGGCCTTTTGCGGGGCTGCTGCTGGCCAGGCAAAGCTCTCCTCCCAAGGTGGCATGCAGCAGTTTCCTCACAGGATCTGGGGAAGGGGGCCTTGTGCTGCTACAGCTGCCTTGCTGGGCACACCTCATCAGCACCGTAAGCAAGATCATAGAATCATACAATCATAGAGCTGGAAGGGAGCTTGGAAGTCTTTTAGTCCAATCCTTTGCCCAAGTGAGCAGTTCTTATACCATCTTGGACAAATGCTTGTCCAATT